ACGCAAAACGGGGACAGCTGTGGTGTCTCTTCGACGGCCTCTGCCGCCGACGAGAAGACGACGGGGCCGCAGTTGCGGCGGGAGGAGGTCATGGCGCGGGGCCCGCAGTTGCGGCAGCGCGCCAGTGAAAGAAGGGAACCTGGGAGAGAGAGGTACGCATCCAGACAACTCGCCAGTTGCAAGATGCGCAGCGAGGCCAAGTTCTCGAGTATTAGGAGAAACGTGGAGAGGACATGGGGAGGACGGGCTTCTACCTGTGCAACTTCGGGAGCACGGCGGCGAAACCCCAGCAGCGCAAAGACGAGTACTCACAGATGCACGAGAACCCTGCGCAAATCCTCGTCATCTACGAATGCGACGACGAGCGGTTCGAAGTGCTGTCTCGGAAACGCGACCCAATCGAGAGCGCAACCGCAGTAGCGGACGACGCGTTAGCAAAGCGAGAGCGCTACAACTACTTGTGCGTCAAGAGCGGCGAGTCGAAGGGAACGTTTCTCATTGGCGTTCGAGACCGCGGTGGTGGTACCATTGACCCCGTCGACTTCACGAGGCTCTTCCACAAGAGAGAGGTGACGAAAGCAGGTAGCGTCTGCAACATACAATCCAGGGCCATGGTCGCGCGCATATCCCTGGACTGGTCCGTGGCGCACCTGGGCTCGCAGTTCAATGTCATGGCGGTGCACGCGCGCAACAAGTTGGCCAACGGGGACTTCGGGACGCAGAAGCTGAACGAATACTACAACTGGTTCGTCCAGCACGTCCAACAGCAAAACGTGCAAGTGCGCACGGGGGGACTTCAACGTGTGCATGTTCGTTATAATCAGCCAGTGCCGCAGTCGCGGCCTGACCGTCGACGCGACCGCGTGGACCCCCTGGAAGACCGCGGGCGGCGAACCCAAGGCAGACAGCACGGCGATGTTGTTCTCCGGCCTGCCTGGGACCCACCGCATCGCCACAGGCCTGGGCGTCTTACACGAAGGCAGCGGCGAGCGGCGGGCTCTCGGCTTAAAAACAAATCCGACGAGTTCCTGACGTGCGGTTACCAGAATGGGCCTGGAAAGCCGTTGGAGACATACCTGCCCAAGAAATGTACCCAGATGGACAAGTTGCGCCCTTTTCTGGCGCCATCTGACGCGCCCGACACCGCAGTCTCGGAGCTCGACAGAAAGATGGCGCAGATCAAGCGAGAACCGCATACGCGGAAGGGCACATGTCTATCGGAATGGTACTGAAACAGCTGAGAGTCGACATCGGGAAGGGTTCTCTGGGAAAGGCACGCAACGGAGCGCACTTCCCCTTGCTGGTGTTCACGCACAACCAATCCCGCAGGTCGCCACAGAAACTAGTGGAGAGGCTCCTGAAGCGGAACCAGAAGCGCGGGGGGAAGAAGGGCGACGGCAAGGGCGACCAGGAGGAAGGCGACCAGCAGAAGGGCGACCAGCAGAAGGGCGGCCAGCACAAGGGCGACCAGCACAAGGGCCACCACCAGCAGCACAAGGGCCACCAGCAGCAGGGCAAGGGACCCGCAAGCGTAAAGCTCTGGGCCGCACTTGAAGCACAGGACGGCAGCGCCACTTACGCTGACACGGTTCGCGCCATCGCGCTGCTTTCGCTAAGTTCCTAAGTTCCTTTTAGTAGGGCTTTATGATTAAGGCCCCAATGGCGCAGCCCGCATGTAGGCCTCACCCCACCCATTCCGGCACACCCCTCACACGTTTCGTGGCTCCACAGGGAGCTCCATCGAAGGCCCCAGCGGCAGGTTTCGCATGCCTCCCCCCCACCAATTTCGGCACGCCCCCCCGCACGCTTCGTGGCCACACAGGGAGCTCCACCGAAGGCCCCAGCGGCAGGTTTCGCATGCCTCCCCCCGCCCACCTCGGCACACCCTCACACGCCACGTAGCCACATGCTGAGATCCACCGAAGACGATCCTCACAGCTGCGGCACTCACACCTGCATATGCTTGGGTCCTTCGTCAGGCAGATTGTTTTGGACGGGGGTTACAGTCGAGGTACTACCAGAGGGAACGCCAAATAAGGAACGAAGCCCCTTTTTTGGCACCAGAAGCGCCTGGGTGCACGAGGAGTGATGAAGGAACAGCCATCGAGGAGCTCAAGGATCAGCGAGCCCCTTCCGGACCCAGAGCTAGAGGCCTCCTAGATGGGGTCGGAGTAGATGGGGTCGGAGGATCTCGCCGCATCGACGATACATCGACGATGCATCGGCGATGCATCGGCGATGCGCCGGCGATGCATCGACGACGTCAGCGATGCATCGGCGACGTCGGCGTGGGGAAACACGGGCTCCACATCGAGCCGCATCGCCGATGCATCGGCGATGCGGCGCGATCCTCGGACCCCATCTACTCCGACCCCATCTAGGAGGCCTAGAAGAGCGGTCCTCGTGTCCAGGTCTTGGCTGTAGGGTCACGCGCTGACTCCCAGGCAACAGCGGGACGGCACGAGGGCCCGACCGAAGGGGCGACCGAGCGAGGGCCGGAGGCAGGACGCCGCGGCGAAGGCACGGCGACCCAGCGAAGCGCCGGGGGCCCGAGACCCGCAGGGACCGCGGAGCAGTGCAGAATCCGCAGGTGCCGTCGGGGGCGTTGACCGAAGGAGCCCTGAAGAGGGCACGAGGCCCCGCTTTTTCCCCTGAGGACAAGCTTCGATTCCCCATCGAATGCCTAAGTTAAGCTTCGATTCCCCTAAGAAAAAACTTCGACCTCCCATCAAACGCCTGAGGACAACCGAGGGCAGCCCGCGAAACAACCAAAGCACGCGGGGCCCCTCCCCGACACAAAAAAGGGCTCCTCGCTCCGCGCCCCGCCTGCATCCCGAGTGGGGCTGGACAGGCATGGGATCGGAGGGCCCCATCCCTGGGATCGGACGAGGCCAGGCTCCCAACCGCACTGCATCCCCGCCTGCATCAGCCCCACTTGGCGATGCGCCCCGATCCCGATGCTCAGTCCCGCTGGAACCCTGGGGGCTGGACAGGATGGGATCGGAGGATCGCGCCGCATCGCCGGTGCACCGGCGACGGCAGGACGGAGCAGAAGGGGCTCGGGATCGCGACGCCTCGCTCTTGCCGTCGCCCGGGCGTCCATTTCCCGTGCATGTTTCTGTTTCGTGCGTGCTTTTTTTGCTCGATGGTCCAGGATGGTCCTCAATGACTCTCGCCGAGAAAAAATGCACACGTCTCAGCGATGCCAAGCGCTGCTGCGTCGGCGATGTGGCGCGAACTTTGCCGCCCCGATACGCAACACGCAGCACGTAGCGTGGTGGCATGGAGCTCAACGCGTGGACTGAAAAAGAAGGTCTGTGGCGAATCATTCGCCAAAGCGCGGACCAACATGTGCCGAGCCAACGCGCAGTGTGTTCACACGGACGTCCTGACCACGGCACGTGCTGCTGCATTCTAGCACGGGCGTATCACGGCAGATCAGAGCGCGATGCTCCGACACCATCTACGGTCAAAACTGACAGTAAGGGTGCGCGATAAGAGAGCAAGCCCCGCGGACGCCCATGCCGAAGCTTCTCGAGCAGGGCTGGCCATCGAGAGTGGTTGAGGATGGACCGAAGATGACCGAAGAGGCAAGGATGCAAGGGTACCCTTGGGAGGTCGATCGCCCTTGCTATCGGTTTCGACTCTACACTCCAGAAAGAGCGGGTCCACTCACGCCATGCACGGAGGGCAGTGCGGACCACATCTGGATTGGCGGCGAGCTTCTGGCGGACAGCGGTCGGGGCGCACGGGACCGCGGAGGCCGCACCAACGCTCGCGCGGCGGCGGGTGTCCCTGAAGTTTCCCGGACTCCCAAACCATTTCGGAGAGCCAGGGTTGCCTCTGGACCTCGTCTGTGGTTCGGGCGCGGGGGAGGGACGCACGTGCGCCGTTCGTGCACCTTCTGGGCACGGGGTGGCAATGCAGAAGCCACCCGGGGCCCCTTCAGGGGCGCTTCACTGCAATCCTCGATCCCGCCCATGTTCAGTGCCCAATAGTGGGGGCCACCAGAAACTCGCTGGCAGCCCAGGCGGACTCGGGAAAATGCCGGTTCCACCATCACGCGGCAGCTACTGCTCGCGAGGGTCGGCCAGTACAACAAGTTGCTTACTGAACACATGGCGGGGAAGATGGCCTTAGCCAACCGCCTGGGATGGCTTGGCATCTGAGGTACAGCACAAACAATCATGTTTACGTATGCGCAGCAGCAGGGGGGGCTGTGATTTGACAGATGGCAAAGAGCTCCGAGACTGCTTGCGAACGCCAGTTGTCCAAATGGAAAGCAAAAGCACCATTCCGCAACGTCGAGTTGCATGTCATCACAAGTGAAATGCCGTGGCCAGCAAAAGAACGACAGAGATGAAGACAGGCAACAGAAAGAACGAGGCCTGTGTGCCTCCCCCCTGTGATCCGACCGACCACTTAAACCAAAAAGCATCGCGCCGTCGCGCGACAGCAAACCAGCCAACACGGCTTCCAACCCCGGGTGTTAGGGCAAATCGCAGGCTGTAAAACAACTATGGGCATACATCGCCTGGGCGTCGCTTGGGGGGGGGGGGGCGATACATGGGGGGAAGAGATCTGAACCCCTTCCCCAGGGCCAGCTTGTCATCCCGAGTCGTTTGTTGACGCTTCCGAGACCCAAGGAGGGCCCTCCGAGGCCGAAAACGGCCCAAACCTCCCGTCGTGATCTTTTCGCGACGCGAGGGGGTCCGGGTTCATCGCCCCGCCCCGTGACTAGAGGCCTCCTGGATGGGGTCCGAGCAGATGGAGTCGAAGGATCGCGCCGCATCGCCAGTGCATCGCCGATGTGTCGGCGATGCATCGGCGATGCATCGGCGACGCATCGGCGTGGGGAAGCACGGCCTCCACATCGAGCCGCATCGGCGATGCATCGGCGAGGCGGCGCGATCCGACCCCAGCTGCTCGTGACCCCATCTACGAGGCCTAGAGGGAGGGGGGGAGGAGGGGGGGGGGGGGGGGAGGAGGAGGAGGGGGAGGAGGAGGGGGGGGAGGAGGAGGAGGAGGAGGAGGAGGAGGAGGAGGAGGAGGAGGAGGAGGAGGACGCGACGCCCAGATCACGCGCCACAGGTGCCTCCGCCCAGGGAAGCTACGCGGCCTCCGCCGCCGGAGCCGGCGGCGCCGCCCGGCAGCTGCAGGCGCCGCCGCCGGGCCCGGCGGGGGCCTCGGCGGGCAGGAGCGCCGCAGCGCGCTCGTGGCCGCGGAGCCTCTGAGGGGGGGCCCTTCCCTAAGGGCTTGACGACTCTTCACCAATCGACTTGTGGTGATCGAGCCAGATAAACCCAGGTAGATGCAGACAAATCCAGGTAAATGCAGATAAATCTAGGTAAATTCAGGTAAATCCGAGAAAGTCCAGGTAAATCCAGAGATCTTCAGGGACATTTCGAGCAAGCTGCGGCCGCTCTAGCGCGAGTCGAAGGACGGCAGAAGTCGTTAAGCCTTTAACGAGCCCTGGGGCACACAAAGACATACAGGGCAGTGCTCAAGATATAGGATTTTTTAGATCTAGGATTTCTCATACATGACTCATGTATGAATGAATGTATGCATGGACTCATCGTTGTTTGTGATACTAAATCCCTGCATTGTTTCATACATGCTCCGCACGCGGAGCATGTATTGAAAACGGCACTGCAGGCACGAAGAACAGGAATCCCCATATTGTCCTATACCTTCTGGGCTCTCGTCTTGCCCCCCAAACTTCCCACAGCTTCCCCCATTGTCTGGGGGATCGACGATGACTTGTGTCCTTGTTTTTTTTTTTTCCCCTGCGGAGCCTCGCCCAGGCGGCCGCGGTGCGGCCCCAGGTGTCCACGAGGGCTCGGCGGCGAGCCCCGGCAGAGGAAGGAGAAGCTGTGGCGGGCCCCGGGGCCCAGGCAGGATCGCGTCGCGAAAAAACAATCCGGGCGGCGCGGGTTTGGGGCCGTTGTCGGCCTCGGGGGCCCTCGCCGGGCCTCGGGGCCGTCAACAGAACGGCGCAGGATGCAAAACTGGTCCCGGGGAAGGGGTCGCGACTTCCAGGGACCGCCTATTGAACAAATCAGGACGTCGCCTGGCTGTCTGGGGGGGGTGGTAGTCCGGTCCGGTCCGGTCCGACACAGTCGACGCTGGCAAGCCGCTCGATGTGAAGAGAAATAACTGTAGTGCCGCGAGAAAGCACCGCCAGCGGGACGCAGCGACCTGGCGCCTCCGCTGAAAAGGTGCGGACCTTCTCTCAGAAGGCTCGGAAGTCCCCTGGCCTTCTGAGGAAGTGTCCTAGACCCTCCTCGAAGGCACGCCGCGCCGCCTGCTGAGAAGGCCTGCTCCTGCCCTGGTCTCCGACATCGCGAGAAAACTGCAGCATCGCAAACAATCGCGGCCAGAGCCCCAGACCCCATCTTTCTGCGCCATCTTTCGACCCGGATGGATTGGTGAGGGTCTCGGGGGCGAAGCGGAGCGAAGACGCCCGTTGCGAAACAGTTGCGGCGTCAGGATCTCGAGGTTCTCATTTCCCCCCCCTCGCTCGCCGCCGAATGGTGGAGGTCGCCCCTGCTGCCAGCAGCTCCTTGACGATCTCCACTCGCCCCTGCATGGCCGCGAGGGTGAGCGCCGTGCGGTTGTAGGAGTTGGTCGCGTCGACGTGTGCCCTGGCCTTCAGCAGCTCCTGGACAGGGCTCGACAGAAACAGCGTTTTTCGTTTATGTTCGTTTTCCCTCGTGTTGTCTCCAATCCGCATTTGCTTTCGAAGCGAAAACGGCCCGCGAAGCCGCCAAAACACCGTTTAGGTCCACCCCTGTCCTGGACAACGGGCAGGTTCCCCAGGAAGCTGGCGAGCATGATAGGCGTGGCGGCGTCCCAGTTCGCCATGTACTCGTTCAGCATCGACGGTCTGCCCGACATGTAGGTGATCGCCTGATTGATTCGCAGTCCGACCTTTATCTTGGGGAACAGCTTGCCAGGCTCGTTCTTAAAATTGACATCAGGGTTCATCGCAAGGACCGCTCTGGTGCACTCCAGATCACAGGCGTCCCGAACGGCTGATCCAACAACGTTCGAACCAAATGCGAGGGACTCTTTCTCGACATAGTCTGGGTATTTATCCGTGAAGTGCTTAAATGCCTCGCTCTGCCCTCCGAAGAGCGCAACGTGCCAGCAATTATTGCCGAGATCATCACAATGGGATGCATGCGTCGGGGCGTGCTTCATGAGCACGTCGACGTTGCCGACGCGGCCAGCGTTCATGGCGACGATATGTGGAACCAAGCCGTCCTGGTACGCCTTAGTGGGGTCCGCTTTCTGCTCGATGAGAAACTCCATGCCCGCGGGGTCGTCGCGCATGAAGCTCAGGCCGTGCAGGATGGTACAACCCTTCATATGCATGTAGCACCACGTGTTGTTCCCCTCCGAAAGCGGGGATTCCACGTCTGCGCCCCTCTGCACGAGCTCCCTGGCAACGTTGAGGAAACCCGCGTACATGGCGAACCGCAGTGGTGTCCACCCGGTGCCCTTCCCGTCCTCGTCGGCTACACGCAAGAGGGACCCTGGGCAAGAGTGACCTCTTGGTGCGCAGCTTTGGGGGGGCCGCGGGGTGCCCCAACGCAGGCGCGCAAGACGCTGCCAGCGCAGCGATGTTGGCCATCCGGAAACCCCGATGCGCCCGCACCAGAGGTCACCCCGGCGAAGGGGGTCACTCTTGCGTCCAGCCGTCCTCGTGAGACGTGAAGCCCATCTGCTCCATCCAGTCGTCGAAGGCTGGCTCTGCGAAGGCGCCCGAGTCGCTGCCCCTCAGCTGCTCGGACTTGATCGCGAGCGTCATGCGGCACCTCAGCATGTCCCCTTTCTGGCGGGCGTGCTCGGCGCAGAGGTCCAGCGCACTGAGCAGCGCATTCCCGATCGCGTCCCGGTCCGACTCCACGGTCAGGTCGCCGGTGCACGGCTGCCGCCAGAGCCAATCGCGCGACATCTGGACGTACACGGAGGTCGTTGACTCCGCGACGATGCAGAGCTTCGGGTTCTCGGACAGGGCGTTGAAGGCCCGCTCGCCGCGGCACCAGGCGCGCCGCTCCCACGTGCGGATGTCGACGACGACGCCCCTGTCCTGGGGAAGCCACAAGGTACCGATACAGCTACTCAGCGGCGAGCGAGAGGGGGAAGTCAAGAGTAGAAAGGCCCTCTCGGAATGCGGCGGGACTTCTCAGAAGCGCGCTGGTCTTCTGAGGTCGTCTGCGTCTTCGGAGCAGGCTCAGAAAACTTCTCAGAAGTCCGGGGGACTTCCGAGCCTTCTGAAAAGGTCCGCCCCTTGTCACTTCCCCCCGGGCTCGCCGCCGAGCTACATCCCGGACCTCTCCCTGGGCGCGTTGTGACCATAATTTCGAGGCGAATCCAGCGGTGGGGACGAGGGCCTCCCTAGGAGGCCCCAAACAGGGGAAAACCAGGACAGGGTAGTGGTACAGGTGCAGCCGAGTTTGATCGGAGAGGACACGCGAGGGGACACACGATCCTTCCGAGCGAGGGCCACATTGCCACATGAGTGTGGAAGACATCGGTCTCGAAACACAGGACACAAGGGCGCCCTCGATTTAGCAGGGTCGACCTGCTAGTCAAACTCGGCTGCCCCTCTTCCTCCTCCGATCTCCACGTGCAGGGACTGCGGCACCAGCACGATGAAGAAGGAGCTCCTCTGCACGTAGTTGGGGATGGAGCGGCAGGCCCTGGCCATCTTCTTCTTGTCGCGCTGAGGGCAGCACTCGATGTCCATCCAGTAGAAGCCCTGCTCGGCGACGTTCTTCAGCTTGTCCTCGAGAGCATGTTGTAGTTCGCGGCGATAGCGGGCGTTATGGGGGGGAGGGGTGTGTGGCATAACGTAACACCCCAGCCTCCCACCGTGACGGACTGGTGCCGGTCGCACTGCGGCAGAGCTGGGGACGCACTGGGGGGCGGAGAGGAGTGTTACGTCATTGGGGTGCGAGGGGAGGGGAGGGGAGGGGGATGGCATAACGCGCGTTATGGCCCAGAGGTGAAACAAAACACTCTCCTCAAGCCCGGTCGTGGTTGTGCCGAAGAACAACTCCGTCACCCAGTGCACAGTGATGTTCAACTTCCCCTGCTTCATATTCTCGAGCATCTGCTTCCACAAGTCATGCTTGACGCCGTCCGGGTCCGGGTGGGCGTCTGAAAACCATGTGTGCGAGAGGAAGACCACAGGGCCAGTGGAGCCTTCCGTGTGCTCGACCAGCTTGTCCGCCTCGCGGAGGTCCTCGTGGATCTCGAAGCGATCCTTCTCAAACATCCTCTGCATGGGCACCACGAACATCGGGTACTCTCGCTCCAGGCCGGAGGGTCTGCTGGTCATTGATTGGGTGCTGTGCATCGAGCGGACATGCATCTCTGCCGCTCCGAGGCGCCCTTTGTGGGTGAGGCGTTCCTGTGTCGGCACTCGTGGGACTTCGCGTCGGGTCCTTCTTGTCAACGGCTACGGATTGGAAGGTTTCGCGCTCTTAAGGGGCCGTTGCGAGTGTCTCTCGGAGCTTCGTCGGGCCCTCTTGGGGGGGCTCTCCTCGGGTCTTCTTGGGACTGCTTTGGCTGCCCATTGCGCTGTCTCTGGGTCTGCTGGTATCCTCTTCGTGCGCTTCTGAGGCCTCATGAGGGCCTCGTGGCCCTCCCTTCTGCGTAAGACTGGCCCCAAAGCGACGACGTCGTCAGACCCACCCTGGACCGAGAAGCGATGAAGAGACATAGGACTATCACAAAACGGGCCCCCCCGGAGCCATCTTGGAAGCATGCTCGGGGCCCTCGTGGACTGCACTGGACTCTCGGAGCCCTCTTCGGGGCGTCTTCGAACACCCCCTTGGCGCCTCGCGCGCCGTCTTGCAGCGGCCCTGCGGACCCAGGGCGAGCGCGGAGAGGCCAAGGGTTGAGCAGGGACCGACCGTCCTGGCATTCGTATGGGCTTACCACGAAATGTTCTCAGAACCCAGACATGCTCTAAGAGCAGAAACAATGCTTGTAGAACACGAGCCCGATGCGCTAAAACAAAACAATATCCGCCTGAAAAATGCTCTAAGAACACCTCGTGGAAACCACACAAGGCTCTTAGAACATTGTCTGGTAGGGCTATAAGCACGCCATGACGCTTCGCCACTGCTTGACATTTCAGGCTCGGAGCGTTGCTCCCGTCGTTCCGAACGGCGTTTTCGCTGCGGCACAGGACACCCTTCTGGATCCACTTCCTTTCCCCTCCCCCTGGCCCTCCTGCGCATCTGCTCCTCCTGCTCCTGCTGCTGCTGTTCGTCGTCGTCGTCCTCTCCTCCTCCTCCTCCTCCTCCTCCTCCTCCTCCTCCTCCTCCTCATCTTCATATTCCTCCTCCTCCTCCACCTCCTCCTCCTCCTCGATTGGTGGGACTACCGGCACGCCGGGACCCTTCGCCACTGCTCGACAAAGGGAGGGGCGCGGGACGCCACGGAGGAAGGGCCCTCCCAGGCCCGAGCGGAGGCCCACGGCTTCCCCCCGATGCTGGGGCCCCCAGGGGCCCCGAAAGGGCGCAGCGGCGCGGGCGGCATGGCACCCCTATAGGCACCACGAGGGGGCGCCGACCAGGGATGTTTCACGGGGCCCAGGGATCCCCCCCCCCCCCCACACACACACACACACACACACACCACACACACACACAGACACACACACAGACACACACACACACACACACACACACACACCCAAACACACAAGTACAAAATAATCCCGGGATCCCCCATACGTTTCCATATTTGCTGGGTTCTCGTCTTCCCACCCACTTCCCATAGTTTCCCGTATTTTTTCCTGGGAGTCGACGACGGACTGCGCCTGCGTATTTGTTTCCCCTCCTTATTAAATTCTTCACGGGCCCACTCACGCCAGAGCCGTCGGGGTCTCTCCAGCAACTGGGCCGTGCCGGCTCGCCTCATCTCTCGGAGCCCAGCGACCAACGACCACCGTGATGCAACAAGGCGAAAAGGGGTGTCGACCAGGGGTGGCTCACGCCTCAATTCGCTGAGAGATGATCGGAATCTCTAGATTCGAGCGCCCGTCGTAACTCAGTAGATCACGTTGGCCCACCCTTGCAGCCGTATGATCACAGTGCTGCAGCAGGCATGGCGCACTGGCATCTCGAAGGGAAGGGTCGACCAACTGGTGTTGCACGTGCCCTTTCGCACCCAGACAGCTTCGGCCCAGATGGCCAACATCTTCCGAGCCCCATGATGCAAGCGATGTGCATCCACAATTCCGACGCCGCGTGCGTGTCACATGTTTCCCTGGAGGCCCGAGTGGCTTCTCGGGGGCCCACTACATTCCATCCCGAGCCGTTTCTGACGGTCCCCTGGTCGGGAGTTGCTAAAGGTGCCCCTGGCCCAAGGTGCCCCCAGCTTTTCGCTCGATGCTGCAGCCCCTGGGGCCCTCTGGACCTCGTGAGGAGGCTCTGGAGGCCGCGGGGGCCTCCTTGGAAATCCTGGGGGCACCGTGGGCTGAGGGCACTTCTGGCCACGCCCGACCAGGCCCCGCACGGGCCCCGGCCAACAGTGGCCGAGCCCGCCTGTCCTCTTGGCCACGACGCGAGACCCGGATGGGTGCCCTCCCTCCGTCCCTTCCTGATCCTCGTCGTCCCCCCCCGTGCCCCCACAGTTGCACAACACGGGCGCTCCCCCCCTCTTGCCCCCGAGGACGTGCTCAGAGTGGCGCGCCGGCGCGGCCCCCCCCACGCATGACTTGTTACACACAGGACCTGCTGTGCGCTTTCAGTCCGAACGGGATCGGTCCCTCCAGGATGGTGTCCCCGTCTGATTGAGCAGGGACCGACCGTCCCGGCATTCCCATGGTCCTACCACGAAGTCTTCTTAGAACAAGGAAAATGTTCTAAGAACAAAAGCAATGTTAAACTCGGTGGGATAAAACAAGACAGCCCCCGCCAGAAATGTTCTAAGAACATTCGTGGGAACCACACACGGTTCTTAGAACATTGTTCGGTAGGGCTATAGGCACGCCATGACGCTCGCCACTGCTTGACATTTCAAGCTCGGAGCGTTGCTCCCGTCGTTCCGAACGGCGTTTTCGCTGCGGCACGGGACACCCTTCTGGATCCGCGTGCTGCTCGTCGTCGTCGTCGCCCCCTTCCTTTCCCCTCCCCCTGGCCCTCCTGCGCATCTGTTCCTCCTGCTCCTGCTGCTGCTGCTGCTCGTCGTCGTCGTCTTCTTCTCCTCCTCTTCCTCCTCCTCCTCCTCCTCGTCCTCGTCCTCGTCCTCCTCCTCAGCCTCCTCCTCCGCCTCCTCCACCTCCTCCTAGTCATCCTAGTCTTTCTAGTCTTCCTCCTCGTCCTCGTCCTCGTCCCCTCCTCCTCCTCCTCCTCCTCCTCCTCCTCCTCCTCCTCCTCCTCCTCCTCCTCCTCCTCCTCCTCCTCCTCCTCCTCCTTCCTCCTCCTCCTCCTCCTCCAGGCTCCCCTCGGGCGGATACCATCGCGCTGCCATCGGAGGCGGCGTGGCACAGGCGCCTCCGCCGCGAGCGCGCCTCTGTTCGCGCCTTGCTGCGCGCGTGGCGGGGGTCGCCTTCGCCCCGCCAGCGCTGCCGCCTGGAGGCCGCTGCGGCGCTGCTGGACAGCCACCACGTCTAGGCGGCGCCGTCCCCCGCGCACCACGGCATGGCCGCCGCGAGTGGAGGCGCGCGCCTGGCATGCATGCGCTGTGGCTGCCGCCAGAATGAAACGTGGTGGAGCTGGTGCGGCCACTGCAAGAGGCCGCTGGTTCTGGGCCAACCTGGCAGCGCTGGCGCTGGCGGCGCTGGGAGGCGGCTCTCGCAGGGCCTCCAGCCGTGGCCGCGCGGCCCCCGTGCCACCCTGGCGCACTGCGGCGGTCGGCCCCAACGGCGCCGAAACCGTCCAGCAGCCTGCGCCCAGAGGCCGCCCCTCCCCAAGCGCGGGTGCGGGCTGCCGCAGGTGGTACTCACGGCGCGGGAGGGCGCCCACGCAGCAGCAGCCTGGGCGTCCGCATCTCTGGCGAGGCTCAGGTCCTGGAGGCCGACGTGGATCCCTAGGAGGCCAAGCTGGTCCAGCTGGCGGAGCTCCTCCGCCTGTCAGGCGACGGGCCAGGCGAGGCCAAGTACAAGCGGCAGCTGGACGAGCACAGGGCCAAGCACTTGGCCAGGCCGCTGACCGTCGCCGAGGATGGCGCTGCGCGGGGCGCGGCTGCTGCAGCCCTTGACGCAGCCCTCGCTGTCGCCGAAGGGCTCTGGCAGCGCCTCGCCCGGGCCGCGGAGCACGTCGCCAAGCGCACTGCGGCCCTCCACGGCGCCATGCGGCCTACCCCAGCGCGGCGCAGGCCCTGGCCACCACGGTGGCGCCCGCCAGCGAGGTCGCGGCCCCCGCCCGCAGCACCTCGGCGGTCCTGGAGGGCAAGGCGGCTCTGGCACTGGACGACGAAGGCCTGTTCGGCCTGGTGGCCCTCGAGGGCTACATCGTCGAGGAGAGTGATCGCCAGGAGGCGCAGCGGCTGCGCGAGGAGCTCCAGGCCAAGTTCGCCACCATGACCCAGAACGCGTTCTGCCAGTTCCAGTCGGAGGCGCAGGCGCTGGAGAAGTCGCACCGCGAGCATCGCGAGCGCCTCGAGTCCAAGAAGGAGCGCGCGGAGGAGAGCGCGCCCCCGCCCGCCAAGGGCGCGGCGCCAAGGAGGAGCAGCCTGGGGCCCTCTTGTTCGGCGCGGGCGCTGCCGAGGCCGCAAGCGCCGCTGCCGCCG